CGGCTGGCGCCGTTGGCGGGCCGCGTCTGCGGGCGGCGGTGGCTGGTGCTGCTGCTCTTCTCGCTGCTGGGCTTCGCGCAGGGCCTGGTGTGGAACAGCTGGGGCCCCATCCAGAACTCGGCCCGCCTGGCCTTCGGCTTCAGCGGCTGGGACATCGCCCTGCTCGTCTTCTGGGGGCCCATCGGCTTCGCGCCCTGCTTCTTCTTCATGTGGCTCATGGACAAGAAGGGTGAGCGGGGCCGGGGGCGGCGGGGCCGGGGGGTCGGGACTCCCCGCCCCGCTCCTGCGGCTTCCCCCGGGCCAGGCGGGGACACCGGGGCCGTGGCCGTGGCCGTGGCCGTGGCCCGCCGACGCCGCGGTGAGGGGCGGCGTGGTGGTCCCGAGGCCGGGGGAGGGGGCGCCGCCAGCCCGGGGACACTCCTTGCCCTCGGGGCTGGTGGCCTCGGTCTTGAAAGGGGACGACGAGCACTTTGAGGGAATCTTGAGTGCCATTTTCAGTACACGGCTCAGACAAAGGCGCATCAAAGGCCATTCGCGAGGAAGGTGCTTACGCTGTTCCTAAAGCTCAGAGGAATTACGGCATCCTACGTCGCGGCCGAGGTGTGGGTCTGGAGGAGATGTGCTCCAGTCTGGCATTGCCGTGCGGATGTTTGACCTGGAGATGGTCTTGTTTTCTGGTAGTCGGCTGTGAAACAAACACCCATGTTGATGTTTGGATCGAGTCAGTCTGTGCTCAGGGCGGCCACTGCATCTTGAAAGAAATACTTTGTTTTTAAAAGCAGACTGAACACGAAGTCGGTGGTTTGCTTTTCGTTGCGCTAGGGCGATGCAAAGACAGAGAACGTAAAACAGAAGTTGCGCTTCAGGGTTTCAGAAGACGAGTGCAAGGGAGGGTTTCCTAATTTGTGTTCAGGCCGTTGCGTCGCGGTAGCAAACTTCTGGAAATGGTATTTGTCTCTGGAGAACTTCTCCAGGGCCTGCGCAGTTTGTCTGTGGTCACCCCGGGGACCGCTCTGGCGAGGTCAAGTACCTGTGTTTGCAGATTTGAGCTTTTGGGCCTAAATCCACAGAAACATTTAGTCTTTTAATTCCTGTTTACACAGACCTCTAAACAGGAGATAAGAGCCTACGTACCCTTGTGGCTTCCAATATTAAGTGCTACTTGTTCTATTTATTTAGGAATTAATAGCTCATTTGTGGGGAGAGAAGGGGGGAGGTGAAGGCAGGCAGGCAGGGAGAAGAGTTGTAGCTGAGAAGGCCTGTGTCTCAGAATTGGAATTGCCTTTCCAAAAACTGAAGAGGTGTTGGGGGAGTAAAACCTACTGGGCGGAAAAAGTGTTCCCCAAATGAGTCCATGGTGGCTGTACAGCCAGTTTCCTCTCAAGCAATTTAGACTTAAGTTGACAATGTCTGTTTAGACTGCTGTATAATAGGGTTGTTAATTATCTTAAAGTAAGTTATTTTGTTTTGTACAGTGAAGACAATGATTCTGCTCATGGTATGAAGGAAATAAAGCTAAACTTGAACCTGTGCTTGTAGAACCGAGTCTGTATTTTTATTTCTTCCATTTTCTATGAAGTTGACTCTGAGCAATGCAGAGAAAGACTGGAGAAGTTTCGAAGTAACTCATGGGAGAAGAAGCATTAGTGTTTTGTTGTTTCTTTAATGTGATTAGTAATACAGTGGCTGGATTTCTGGGTTTCACACATAGCTTGTTTTAATGAGAATATGTATAGAAGTGTTTTCCACATTACCTTAACTGATTGCTTGGGTGTTTTTCTTTTTTTTTTTTTTTTTTTTTTTTTTTAATTTCCATGTTCAGTGGAGATATTGATACTACCTCTATGCTCTTGCTTTGTTGCTTTCCCTGTTGAGAGAATTTTGGTTGATAGCTTAAATAGAGCATCTCAACTCATTGGCTTTATGCATAAGGAGTACATAAGGGCTCTGGAGCATGTTCTTTGCATAGCAGCAGATTTTGTGTGGGCCCTGTTGTGTTTCATGCTGTTTTCTGAGTCTCCCCCAGAGAATGTGGTGCTGTTCACTTTGGAAGTGGTGGTGGAGTCCTGCCACTTGGTTTCTCATGGAGCAAAGAGGAGAGCTGCTGCTGCCCAACTCTCCCATGGGGCATGTTTCTACTGGAGGCATGTTGCCAGGAGGTATCTGCTCTTTGGAATACGGATGTTCCAGGAGGAGCATGACTCTACTGCTTTGAAGCTGTAAGGTTTGGTCTGACCTTGCAAGGGCAGTATTTCACTTGCTTAGGGGTACAAATGCTTGTTGTTACACCAAAGTTACTCTCTGTACCAAAAATACAGAGAAATGACACCATTTATTCGCTGGCTTCAATCATCTGTCATTGGAGTTAGCTAGTAAAGGAACTGTCAGGAAAAAAATGTATTTGTGAAGTGTCAACATGTAAAACCTGGCATGTATCAGAAGTATGACACTGTAGATGATGCATGTCAGAATTTGAGAGGCGATTCTGCTGTTAGATGGTCCTATACTTCACAGTCAGAAGTATATCTGATATTGATAAGTAGCTGCCTGCTGTCAGTTAAGTCTGATTTTGTGTTATGATGCTTCAGACAAAGTCCAAAAGTATTTGTCTTTTTGGTTTTTAGTTGTTTGTTGTAGCATATAGTTTGAAACATAGATCTGTTTCCATACTAAACTTCTGTTGTAATTCTTATGCGCTTGTTTCTTATTTCAGTACTGCTTATAAGGGTTTGGTAATTTTTTTTTTTTTAATTTTTTTTTACTTTTTAACTAATTAGAAGTTGAAAGGTTAAATATTCAGCAATAGGCATGTTAATATCCTACTTGGAGGAAGCATTTCTTGGGCTGCATGCTTCAGTTCCATCACAGCTTCTCAGAGAAGTGTGGGGTTTTCTGAGAAGAGAGGACAAGTGTTTATTTTTAGTAAAAGGTATGCTAAATAAGCTCCAAATGATCTGTTCTTTGGTTCTGTATAGAAGGGAGCTAAATGGAGAAATTACGTTTTTTTCTAACCTCAAAGGGTTTCTTGGTCTTTGTGACCGTTTCCCTCCTGACCTGCCAAGTGTGTCTCCTGGATTTTTTGTGGAGGCCTGTTTGCAGCTGACACAGGCAATGCCTGCAGCCCAGGCAATACCTGGGCTGGGAGAGGTGTATAGATGGTGTCACTTTTGGCTCCCTGGGGAATTTCTGCAGTATATACTACAGGCAACTGCATGCCTCTGCCAAGGTGGTGACCCAGAACGGGTGTTGGTGTCAGAAATAGCATGACAAACAGTCTTGGTTGGCTAAAGCCCGCGTTCCTATGGATCTATAGGGATTTCCTGGTTTTTATGAAATTGAGGGTGAATTTTCGTCAGAAGGGTAGTGATGGTCTTCACAAGGCTGTAATTGCAAAAGAGTCTTACCTGAAGGTCTGAACAGACTCAGAACGAGTAGACATTTTTTTGAAGGGTGTTAACACTGTATTTTAAAGGGTCTTGAGGCGTTGGAGGAAGCCTGGATTTAGCTGGTGTTTCTGTAAGGCATGTCAATTGAGAGCTAGGTTGTATTTTTTGCTGAGCTCTTGTCGTTCTCAAAAATACATTTGTTTTCAGATGCTTAGCGAGGCTCATGTATCACAGTTGGAAATTCTTCTTTGGGGAGCAAGCCCCGTTCCTGTTGCTGTCTCTCCCAGATTTCTCTGGCTGAATGGAGACTTCTGTCAGCGTGCTTTTTCTTGGGTGCCTGGGGGAGCTCTCCATGCTCCTTGGGTGGGTGCTGTAATAGGGACAGCAGTACCATCTGTAATGTGTCCTAGTCCTGTTCTGGGACGGGTGCATGTTGAAATTCAGGAATTACATTTGCATGCATCATTTTTGAATATGTGCCATTTTGAAGTAGGTTTGAAAACCCTTTTCTGTAAGTAAAATTACAGGTGTTGTCTTGGTTGGTTTCTTAGGGAAGAAAGGTTAAAAGATGGGGTGTGCCATGGAGCTACATGTGTCTTATCTGGTGCATTTTCTTTAGCAATAGGATTAGAGAGTCCTTGTTTAAATGATAATTACCTTTTAGAGATTCAATAATACTGAAATGAAATGGGAAATTACTTCAGTGTGCAGTTGGATGGACCCTTGTTGTTTACATGATTAAAATTAGCTACAATTTGTCACATGATGCTTGAGTGTTTGTGGGTGTTTTGTGCCTTGAGTGTTTCATTTCCTGGGAACTGTAAATATAAGCATACAGAACTGTTAGAATGTTTATATATCTAACTGCAAATCAAAAGCTTACATACTTCTATGCATCTGGTTCACTGGTTTATTTTATTAGTTAAGTTCATAGTTACAAGGTGAGACCTAGAAGCAATATATAATGTCAGTCTTCATTATGTTCCCATATAAGCAAGAAGAGGCAATGAAGAATGAAATACTTTATGATAACTTACATTAAACAAATTGAATAGAATGGTGATATTTTTCATTAATTTTTGGAATACAGTGAACACAGTTTTATACTGAGTTTGAAGAAATGTGACACATTACTTGTAACAGTGAAATGTAATCTATTTCTTGGTCCTTATAAAATGATATATGCTTACATGGGTTGCATAGTTCTTAGTAACCTTATTTTGCTGAAATTAAATTTACATGGCATTGTTATCCTAGTGATTAAATTATGAAGTAGAGAGAAAACTTCAATAATCAGGTTTTGGTTTTTAATGGAGATTGGCTTGTCTATTAAAACCATGAATGTTTTTACTTGTACAAATAGTTATTCCTTTCCTGAATATCAAACTCTTGATTTCATTGCTGTCTCCTAAATCATGCTTCTCAGTTTCCTTCTCTGAGACATTTGATAGTTCTTATCTCTTCCACCTGGGAATTTTGAGGTTAAATCCTTTAATACAGTCTGACAAAATAGTCATGAATATTGAGTATGAGTACTAAATCAGGCCTTACTAATATAAAAATGTCTTAATAACTATTCTCTATACAAAATAAACTACACATGGTGGATAAAGAGAATTCTGCATAGCAGCTTTCATGTTTGAAGTTCCCAGATAGTCACTTTGTGCTAAATGCATGGAAACACCGATTTTACTTTCAAGGGACCTTTGGACTCCTCTAACTCACATCTAGGGTCATTGGGACAGAAGGGAGAAGACTTCAAGTTAACTTGTTCTCCCCCTAGATTTTCATCTAGGAAGTGTTCATAAAATGCCTTTGGTTTTATTTTGAGAGATGTAAAGGT